TCACAGTCCTTAGTGTGTGGGGTGCAGCGAGGACTAAATGTGTTAATATACATGTAGTTCTTAGAACAGAGCCAGGCACCCAGTAAGTGCTCCCCAAGTGTCAGCTGCTATGATCAAATGTAAAACCCTCTCCTGCTGCAGCCAGCTGTCGGAGGGAAACCCATGCTGCAGGCCCACTCTTCCATTCATCAAAGCTCTTGGTTCATCCAGTGCCTGAGGTCTCACTATCATCAGACCCTGTGCTGCTCAGAGGCTGGAGGGCTGTATAAGAAACAGGCCCTGTCCTCACGAGCTCACAGTCTAACGGCAGAGGCTGGCTTGTTTATAAACAATCATTATAATTCATTACAGGGGAGAGAGGTTACAGAGTGGCAGCCTGGACGTCCTTGTATTCAGGACTTAGTTTCAAACTTTCCTAAACCGAACACACGTGTGTGCCCAAAATGGCAGAGAGTAATCAAAATGTAGCCTTGAAAACCTGTTTCAACTGTTTTAGCTTTCCAGCTTTCAAAGCTTCCCCCCAACCCAGACATGCCCGCTTTGGCCTTCCCAGGGTCAGGAGGTACAAAGCTCGTCAGTGGCCCAACAGGCTGGCTGGGTGAGGATCTGGCACTGCCACAGCCAGGCCAGATATGCTGCGGACCAAAGGGCAGAGGAGGTCTGGGCAGCGCCTGGCATCAGGGGCTTAAGGGGCAGGAGGGCAGGGCTTGGGCCAGGCAGAGGCCAAGAGCTAGGGCAGTAACCATGTGTGTTAGTGAGGTAGGGCTGCAGGCACCCAGGAGGTGCCAGGCACGCAGTAAACGCACAATGAAAGACACTCCCTGGCTCACTGTGGTGGATAGACTATTCTGATCTCTGGAGTCGGGGAGAGGACAATCCTTTCAGGACCGTGGAGAGCGCCCAAGGCCCGAGATGGGCTCTGATTTCATGAAATGGGCTTTCATTTCATCTCTGGAAACAACCACCCTTTCTAGAGCTCACCGGGGCTTTCCAACACATGCTCCTGAACGTGAGTCTCACATTCCCCAGTTAAAGCAAACATAACCACCCCATGCCACAGAAACACACTCAGCAAGAAGCCGAGAGGCAGAAGCACACCACGGCTTCTGTTAGAGCCGTGCCTCCTGAGGGGGACCCCACAGCTGCCTGGGGTCGAGTGAGACGAGTGCCAGGTCACCTGTACCCCACATCAAGGCAGCCACCATCTCCTTTCTTCCTGCTCAGCCCCTCTGCTGTAGCACAGATAGGAAGGTTTTTCTTTTTATTATTGGAAGAAATACTTTAATATATTTTATCGCACTTCTCTGTATTCTAATTAAAGTAAAAAATCACGATAAATGTGTTTATCAGTTTACTGCCACCCTTGGCCCTTTGTTTCAGCTTCTTTATTAAAAGAAAGTCCTTCCTGAGTGTTTTCTTCACTTGCCCAGAAACCATAGTTACTGAGACAAAGGCCCTGGAAGAGCTGCGGCAC